AATCCACATTTTAAAAATTACCTAAAACCCTCAAATATTATATATTTTCTGAAAGCACAGACCCTGTAGTATAAAATGGTGGCAGTTGCAAATTTTTATGTCGTACGATATTTGCGTCACTCTTTAACTCACAAATTTAGCAAAAAATTCACTTAAGGTAATTTTAGTGTCTAAGAACACAATATAATATCCATGTTGTAAAACATAGGTGTGGTTACGATGATTATATAGATGCCCAACATGCCCAGGGTAAAAATTGCATGCGTCTGTGAAATGACAAGAAAATATGGTACCCCGTATTGTCCGTAGTCGATGTTTAAAAACCCCTAAAGGTCATCGATTTAGAGATATCCATAAATATTGGCCCTAGAATTATTGCGCTCACTCTGGTGCACGTGGTGATACCCAACATGTAGCGCGAGTGTCGTTTTCGTACGCAGGCGCACCCGACGCGTGTGTATGTTAATATGCGCCACGGACTTTACATTTTTTAAAATATTTTTTACATTTTATTATTTTATATATATATATTTTTTTTAACTTAATTGCTATCGCATGAGGGGGCTTACCTCCCCCTGTGTGATAGCATACTAAAAGGTTCCCTTTTAAGGTGATATTAGAGATCAGTTAGACTTCTAATGTCACCTTTGCACTCCAAATAAGCAATTGGAGGGCAGATTGCGCTCCAATAGCGTATTGCCAGGCTTCTGTAGCCAAGCAATGAAGAACAAAAGGTAGGGAAGGAAGCGCCTCAACTGAGTCAAGCCTGTCTTCGTGGAGTGGGGGCCTGATGGGTGGATGATAGTGCGGTGTTGGTGGGAGGCGCAAAAGGCAAGGGTGGATCCAGGGGATGGCGGTGTGGGAGATAAACACAATCGAGAGGTGAGAAATCAATGGTGGTAGATCACAAAGGTGATGAGTAACAACTCACCGTTCAAATGGTGGTGACACGATAATTGAACGGTGAGTTGCTATCCATCATCCATCCATCATCCACCCATCATCCACCCATCAGGCCCCCACTCCACTTAGACCCCTACCTCTAAAGGTGCCCATACACTGCACGATTCTCGTACGAGAATCGCGGGAAATCCCGCGATCGTACGATAATCGTACAGTGTATGGAAGGCGTGCGACCGTTTCTACTGTACGGTCGCACGCCTTCCGTCGAACAAGCAGGCTGGAAAACCCGCCGGGAATCGTACGATTCTCGGCGAGTTAGTGGCCTGCTTGTTCGACAACTGCCGAATGGTCCGGTGTGCGCACACTGCCCGTTTGCAGTCATTGGAAGCCCGCCCCTCATTCCAGTCAACGCAAGCCCGCCCCTCAGTGGGGCGGGCTTGTGATGATCGCAAGTACGATCTGCCTGTCCAAGATGGGCAGATCGTACGTTTTTTTTAAGTACTTTACAACCCTCATAAGACAAAAGTCTTGCGAGGGTTGTAAAGTGTATGGCCACCTTTAGACAGGCTTGCCTTAGTTGTGGCGCTTCCTTCCCTACCTTTTGTTCTTTGACAAACAACGGACACCCCGGTCCGCACAAACGTGAAGTAGCACACTGAGTATTCAACCTCCCAGCCCTCACTGCTCTAACACCCCCACCCCAAACAGCGTGTGCCACGGGACAACTCTCCTAGTTTTTCTGTAGCTAAGCAATGGCAGCTAAGTGATGCTTCCGGTCCCGTAGAGCAGGGAGGAGATCGGCGAACGGATGTGGTGAAGTTTAGCATTTGGCTGATACCTGGAATCATGTTGTCCTTCTTTCCTAGTCTTTTCTATCATCAGGGCCTTCTTTAACTCTGTCAGATTTGGCCAGCTCCTCTGCCCTTTTAGCTGAAGTTTTTACTGCAGTGATGCAAGATTTTTATGGCTCAAATCACACGCTTATTTACAGATTCTGACCACAGAGCCCACAAGCGTGCTCTCACCTTCCTCCACAGACCCTCAAAGCTGATCTAGTAAAGCTGGCTATACACTTATAGATTATCTGCAGATCTTCTATGGTCAGATGGAAAAAGTGTAACAGATTCCTCCATCTACGCTAAACTGTGTGGATGGAGCAATCTTCCACTGGGCCAAGCTTCAGTATCTTGCTAGTCGGCCCCGCTGGCTCTCAAAATACCTGAACAATGCCTGCATCCAATGCTACCACCTCTGAAAGGTAAGTGTCTGAATTTGCAGCCTTATCCTACAAGGGACCAAATGATGTTGAGGCCCAAGACTTCCTTCTTGCTTCTTCCTTCTTGTAGTGTCTGCCTTTCACCTCAACTAGGACAACGTTCTCCTATCTCTCTGGCTCCAGTTCATCAAAAGGGAAATTTCCCGCCATTGTCTGAATGTTGTTGGTGCTGCGAGAGTCCATTTCTCAGCTACTGCTTCTTTCGGGAGTACTCATTTACTTTGTCATCCAGGATCTTCTCTACAAGGGTGCAGAAGCTTCTCATTCCACCACCTCTAGTTGGTTTGGACAGAACATCATCCACGATTGTGGTCTCAAGGGTCAGGTTCCACCCTTTCCTATCAAGACACACTCTTCTAGATCTGTGAGTGCTTCTTGGGCTTTTTTGGCCTCGAGCAGCTGTTTTCCAGATTTGCAAGGCTGCCACCTGGCCCGCCTCCATTCTATTTACACATTCTCTAAGTTCTACCAGGTGGATTTTGTGGCCTCTTCTAAAGCCAAGTTCAGGTGTAATGTCCCACAGGTGGCTCTTTGAGCTGAAGGCTGTCCTCCTTTTCTGTTGTCTTGGGCCAGTTAGCGTTTGTTGCTTTCTTGTCTACTTCTCTCTGTCCTTAATAGACGAGAAGGCAAGTAGGATGTTTGTACTCGCTGTAAAATCCTTTTCTTGGAGTTCACTGAGGGGTACAAGTCCCAACCTACACCCCTGTGGGTTTATGGTCAATCTCTTGGTACTGCTTTGGTACAAAGCGGAGGCAAGCTGGTAGTAGGAGGGGTTATCCTGGGCTTGCCTACAGGATTTTTTAAAAATTTTTTTTGCTAGTGCCCAATCCTCCTGTAAAGATTTCCTGGGTCTCTGAAGGCACAAACGTTTTTTTTACGGCGCAAAGTTGCTTTTTTTTAATGATTGGATTATTGAAGTACATTTTCACACAATTTATTGTGTGAGGATTCTGAACTCCTAGTAACTAGTAAATAGACCCACTTAGTAGAATGTTGAGAATGCAATGTGATGAACAAATCACAACTATTATGCTCCATGCAGACTTTGCTCTTCACAATGTTCACAGAACATAAAACACATGGAGTGAATTCTAATGATAAAAAAACCCAAAACATAGATTTTTAAAGCACGCTAAAAGCATTAAACGTAAACATGGTAGTAATAAAGTTTAGTCATTTTTTTTGGTGTCCTGTTTTACTGATTTTATGATTTTATTTTAAGGGGAAATGCAATTTTTAATGGAAACCAAGGTGGCGTGTATATCTTTGGTGACGGAAGAGGCCTTATAGAAGAAAATGACATTTATGGTATATATTTGTTTTTGGTTTCATACTTGTGTACAGTAGTTGTGTACTGATTGCCTCATGTATTGATTTTTTGCTGTGTGTCAACAGGCAATGCTTTAGCAGGAATACAGATACGTACAAACAGCTGCCCCATTGTCAGGCACAATAAAATCCACGATGGTCAACACGGTGGAATCTATGTGGTAAAATATATTTTCTCATTTAATTTTTTTGATATATTTTTATCCCCCAAAAAAGTAGACGTCTCCAGTTTTTGTAGACATGTTCTTTACAGCATCACATTACTCCTGAGCTCACAGCAGATGATCGCATTAATGCATTTTTTGGATTGCAACCCAAACTGCAGAAAACCTGGATCACAGGATTTGGAGTTTCTATACTTACACTTTTTTTACAGTTTGTGTGTTTAACCACCTCCCGTCCATGGCCGTTTGGGAACGGCCGTTTGGGAGAATTGTTGGAGTGGGAGGGCTTCCTGCATTCAGTGTCACTCTCCGGTACAGAACACCGGTGAGCAGCTGATGAAGCAGATCTCTGCTTCATCAGCTTCTCTGGGAGTCTCTAGGTGACATGGGTCTTTAACACCCTGATGTCTCCATAAAGAGGACCTGTCATGTAAATTGGCTATCACACAGGGGATTTCTTAGTCCCCTATGTGATGGCAATAAAGCTAAGTGTAAAAAAAAAAAATTAAAGCATAAAAAAGAAATAAAGATGCTAACAAAAAACTGGCACAAATAATTTTTTTTTTAAAATAACAAATTTTTTAAAGTACCCCGTCCCCCACATGCACACTCAAAAATGCGTCGGGTGTGCCAAAGTGCGAAAACGACAATGACGCCTATTGTGCCGCACATGTTACATATCGCCGCGAACGTCGGAATGAGAGCAATAATTTTAGGGCCATTAATTACTGATAAGACTAAACTGATGAGCGGTAAAAGTGTTTAAAGTGTCACCTATGGCCAATTTTGGGTGTTGTCGTTTTCTGCAATTTCGCGGGCGCCCAATTTTAAAGCGTGACATGTTTGGTGTCTATTTACCCAACGTGACCCCGTCTTTTATATTTTAACAAAATATTGGGGTGATAATAAATGTTTTTTAACATTTCATAGGGAAACATTTTTTTTATCTTACAAAATTTGTGGTACTTTTTTTGTTATATAGTAAAAAATAAAAACCCCAGTGGTGATTAAATACCACCATAAGAAAGCTCTATCTGTCCCCAAAAAAGGGTATAAAATTTGTTTCAGTACAGCATTGCATGACGGAATAAACGTCAGTCAAAATACCGCAGCGCTGAATACTGAAAAATGACCTGGCCAGGAAGAGGGTGTAACACCCTGGTCCTTAAATGGTTAAACACTACCTGCACACTGAATCTTGGCTGCAGCACTTTGGCTATATCAAACACTAGTTAGCCTATCCACAAGCTGTGGTTCACAAAACCCAAATTCCTTCTCCAAACCCTGGCCCCCAGGATCACATTAACCATGATGTAAATCAAAGAGCAGCTTAAGGCAATTGAGAATTTCCATAGAAAATATAAAAAATCTGGCTTTCTATTAAAAAACTTTTTCTCTGACAATAAAATTGTTGTAAACCCCCCCCCCCCCCCCC